AGCCTGCACTCATTCGTTGGAAAACTATGATTTTGGTGATTTTTATCCGAATTCGTCTCGCGCCGAATTGAGTCCACGCTCGCTTGTGTCTCCCGATGAAGAAATGGTAAATCCTGTCAGCGTGGAAATTGGATCCCCACGGGAGTCTGGTCCAGCGGGCCTGGACGAGCTCCTCAATAAGTTCAACGGTGTGTCGGCTTCTCTTTACCGGCCTTCGGAAGTGATTGACGCCGTCGCTGGCGTCCTAGACCTTCTACCTCCTGAGCATCAGCTCAGAGGCCAAAAGGTCTTACAAGTGCTAACCAGGCACCACCTTACGCTGATCGAGGGCGCGGCACGTCCCGGCTCTATTCTCACCCCTCCCCACCGCGCTGAAGCGGCGCCATCCGCTGTTCTGGCATCCCTTGCCACCAATTCCTCTAACCAGCGCGCCGATACCTCCCACCTCGTATGCACAGCTCGCGAGGCACCGACCTCTGTTCCGGAACCCTCCCCCGCGGCCCAACCCTCCCATACCTGGACAGTTGTGGCGGCCACTAGAGGTCCTACCAAAAGGATGCGCGTCCCTGGTTCTACTCCGGTGCACCATCGCACTATCGTGACACCGACGGTTCCCGCAGCCAGAGGTAAAGGTAAAGGGAATGGCAAGGGTAAAGGCACTACTGCCCCTGGCCCAAACAGAACTGCACTGGAGAAAGCCAAGAAGGCCAACAAAAAGGCCTGCGTGGTTGAACTCCGCTCGGTTGATGACGACGCTAAAATGGACGCCGCCGAGTTCATGACCTTTCGCAGCAGGGCCCTGGGGCTTTTGAGTGGTTCGGTCATCGTCAATACCACCTTCCCAATCAAGGGAGGTATTGGACTAGTCCTTAGCGATGAGAGTCACGGGAACGCATGCGTTCAGTCTTTGAGTCGCATGCAGGGTTATACAGCCAAGGTCCGCACTGGATTATGGCCACGTGTGATTTTGTTTAATCCCGCAATAGCCCGTGGTTCCACTATCGACTCAGTGAGTCGCTCTATCAAAGAGGGCAATCCTGCTCTCACCGAAGGTATCGACGGTGACAAGCTGGTCAGCGCGGTCTATTGGCGCGGCCAGCACTTAGTTATGGCGATCTGCCCAACCCTCTACCATAGGCTATCTGCCAATGGGGAGGGGAAGGGTCGCCTGGTATTAAATCACCTTTGCACCAGATGGGCGACATCTCGCTCCCCATCAGTGTGTTTTAGGTGTTGTGGTATTGGCCATATTGGCCCTTCCTGTCCTCATAAGCAG